CGACGAAATAAACATGATAAATGAAATGATACAAATAATATATCACATAGTCAATACATTAAACACCATTGTAAAATTACGTGTTCAATACTTAAGATTTGATAATAATTTCTAGGAAACAAAGTAAAAATAAAGATTATTTATTTATTTATTAAAAGTGAACTTCATCCAACTATACAATAAGAGCACATGAAGTAGCTAGGTTTAATGGCTTCCAAATCTGAAAAGCAACCTCATATAGCAATGATGCATGAGACTTGAAGAAGATGAGTAAGAGTATAATGCATATATATAATATAAGGCGATGATATTATAAGATACAATGACCCGGGTCCACATAATAATTTGCCCATTAGAAATTATATTGGGCCGGTTAGTGGGCTAGATACAATATTAGCCCACTGTTGCCGCCAAAGGCCCAAATAAAGTTTTCCAGTATCCTTCGATACTCAGAAACATCTCGGCGGTAGAGGTAATTAGGTAGACAATAGAAAAGGCAAAGGGTTTCTGACACTTCTCCCTGTCAATAATGTTATATTATTAGCTTATAATAATGTTAGTATTTGTATGGCACTAGTTAAGTAGTCTAGTCAAAGCTGATAATTAGGAGAGGTTTACGTTGTTTAAACCTCTTTTAATAATGTTGTAATTATCTGATTAATTCAAGTTTGAATCACACTTCTCATCTGGTATCAGTAACGTCTCACGTTCGATCCTCCTCTTTTTTCTCCCCTCACCCAAAAATGTCGACAAACTCGTCGGAAAGAACCATCACCACCTCTAACCCCAATTCGACCACCGCGTCAAACTCCTTGGCCTCGGCACATCATTTTGTGTCTATCAAACTCACGTCGCGCAATTTTTTGTTCTGGCGCACTCAATTAGTCCCGTTTCTCAAGGGACAGGAATTATTGGGATTCGTCACCGGAGAAACGCCGTGTCCGGCTCCAACCATGGCCAGTCCGACGACCGCCGATTCATCCTCCGGTGTGGCGATCTCGACGCACATTCCGAATCCAGAGTACAAAACATGGGTGCGCCAAGATGCCTCAATTCTCTCGCTGCTGGTGTCCTCAATGGCCGACGAAGTGTTACACCTTGCTGTCGGTCGAGATACCTCCAAACAGGTTTGGGATTCCATAACCACCGCTCTCGGCTCCAGTTCACGTGCCAGGTGCTTGAACCTTCTCGGACAGTTTCAGTCCTTGCGGCAAGGGAATATGACGGCGGCGGATTACATTGGCCAGGCGCAATTAATCGTAGAAGCCCTCTCGTTGGCCGGCCGGCCATTATCCCTGGATGAGCAGAACCTCTGGGTGTTCCGAGGTCTCCGCCCCGAATTCCGGAGTATGGCATCATCGCTTACGGTCTCCGGCAATCCAGTGACGTTGCCCCAACTTGCCGATTTCTTGATGGCTCAAGAATTCATTGCAGCAGATGATATCACACCGGGAGCACCTGCAGCGTTGTATGTTGCGCAGGGCAGTCAGCAGTCCGGCTCCAGTGGCAGACGCGGCAATTCAGGCCGCGGCAATCGGGGCAATCGTGGCGGTCAATGGCGTGGTGGCGGACGCAATGGCGGACGTGGTGGTGGGCAGATTAGGTGCCAAATCTGCCGGGCTCATGGGCATGGTGCACTGACATGTAACAAGCGTTACAGTACCCAACCGGCACCTCAGGCGAATTTAACGGCCACCGGCGACGATGTGGTCTCGGCTGCCGGCTCGTGATTTCCGGATACCGGAGCATCGGCCCACGCGACACCGGATGCCTCTATGCTTTCCCATGCATCAGAATACAATGGTGGAGATGTCCTGCGCGTCGGTAATGGCACAGGTTTGCTTATTTCGCATGTTGGATCCGCATCTATACCTTCCGTGTCTAAACAGTTAAATATGTCAAATGTATTGCACGTTCCAAATTTGTCAGTTCCGTTGTTGTCAGTTCAAAGATTTACTAATGAGAATGATGTTTTCTTTGAATTTCATAAACATTGTTTTGTTGTGAAGGATTCGAAAACGCAGGAAATTCTGCTTAAAGGCCCCACCTCGGGAGGACTATACAAGCTTCCGCTATCCCAGTTTCATTTCGCATTCCTTAGTGCCCGGACCACTCCAGTGATGTGGCATCGTCGATTGGGCCATCCTCACAGTCAAGTCCTCAATAAAGTGCTACAAGTGTGTCCTGTCCTTCGCAATAAAACCGAGTCTTTTGGATCATGCGCTGCTTGTCATATGGGAAAAGCGTCACGGTTTCCGTTAGATAGAGTAGCCAATTCTAGTAAAAATGTACTTGATTTGTTATATACGGATATTTGGGGACCAGCCCCGATCCATTCAAGTAGCGGTTTTAAATATTTCGTACTCTTTGTAGACGATTGTACTCGATTCTGCTGGTTTTTATCCCTTACGGGTAAAATCAGATATTTATAAAGTGTTTGAGTCCTTTAGAGTCATGGTAGAACGCCAATTCATGCGTTCTATCAAATCTATTCAGTCAGACTTAGGTGGAGAGTATCAAAAGTTACACAAAACCTTTCAAACCCTCGGAATTAACCACAGACAATCATGCGCTTACACGCATGAGCAGAATGGCAAAGTTGAGCGCCAGAATAGACATATTGTCGAAACCGGTTTAGCTCTCCTAGCCGAAGGGTCAGTACCCTTGCAATACTGGGATTACGCCTTCGAAACTGCCACGTGTCTCATAAATTACCTTCCCTCATCAGTCCTGAATTTTGAAAGCCCCTACTGCCGCCTATACAAAGCGTCACCCCCATACACGTTTCTACGGGTCTTTGGCTGCAGGTGTTACCCATATCTTCGGCCGTATAACAGGCACAAGATAGAGTACCGCTCAAGCTCGTGTGTCTTCCTAGGTTACCCTCCTAGCTATAGGGGCTATAGATGCCTGGATCTAACTAGTGGAAAAGTATACATCTGTCGTCATGTCCGATTTGACGAATCTACTTTTCCTTTTTCAGACTCTACACTGCAGGATAAACGGGAACTGGCATCATCACCAGCTCCGTAGGCAGCTGGGCCCATAATAACACCAACGGCACCGGAATTACCCATAGCAGTTGCCCCGCCCTCATCCGGGCCCTTACCTCCCACTCCGGGTTCAGCGCCTTTGGCAATAGAAGGCCCATCCAGGACTGCCCTGGCTAAGACACATAAAACTAAACGCCAAGCAGCTCCAGTTCAGGAGCATGTGATGCGACTGCGACACATGACTCGGGGCACAAACAAGCAGTTTCATGCTTTAACCACGACAACTGACATGTTATTCACAAGCCGTAGGACATCCCGAGTGGCGGGATGCTATGGACCAGGAATTTAATGCACTCCTGCACAACGGCACCTGGAGGCTTGTACCTCCTAAAGCTGACATGAATATCATAGGGTGCAAGTGGGTGTTCCGCACCAAACGCACTGCAGATGGCTCTATAAAGCGCTACAAGGCTCGCCTGGTGGCCAAGGGCTTTAACCAGGTAGCCGGTGAAGATTTTTTCGACACCTTCAGTCCAGTGGTCAAACCTACCACGGTGCGACTCCTTCTATCACTAGCGGTGTCCAGCAGTTGGACTCTCAGGCAATTAGATGTATACAATGCCTTCCTCAATGGCCATCTAGTCGAGACTGTGTACATGAAACAACTACCTGGGTACGAGGATTCCTCACACCCTGACTTTGTCTGTCACCTTCAACGCTCACTTTACGGTCTCAAACAGGCTCCACGTGCCTGGTTCAAGAGGCTACATGATTTTCTGATTTCTACAGGTTTTCAGCCGTCAAAGACCGATGTATCACTCTTTCACTACACGGACGGGCAGTCTCGAGTCTTCTTGCTCGTCTATGTAGACGACATAATTATGATGGGAAATGATACCCCTCTGTTAGATGTGTTGCTACGTCGCCTCTCCACCGCGTTCAAAATCAGGGATCTCGGCACTCTGGGCTTCTTCCTTGGCATTGAAACACTGGCTCTTAACGGTGGCTATCTGCTCTCACAGAAACGGTACATGGTAGATATCCTAAATCGGGCTGGTATGTCAGACTGCAAGCCACTCACAACTCCAGCAGCAGTGTCTACCAGTGCCACTTCCGCGTCACAACCCTATGACAATCCGACGCAGTATCGCCGCATCGTAGGGGCCCTTCAGTATCTCACTATCACTCGTCCCGATCTGTCGTTTGCCGTCAATCGACTATGCCAGTTTATGCATTCACCCACTGACGAGCACTGGGGCCTGGTTAAGCGTGTACTCCGCTATGTTAAGGGGACCCTGCATTTTGGGCTACGTCTATCACCATCTACTTCTTCAGCAATTCATGCCTACTCCGACTCCGACTGGGCTGGCTGCCCCCTAGATAGGAAGAGCACCCGCGGCTATGCAGTCTTTTTAGGCAACAATCTCATTTCCTGGCTCTCACGGAAGCAACGCACAGTAGCTCGCTCGTCAACTGAGGCAGAATATAAAGCCTTAGCCGATGTCTCGGCTGAGGTCACATGGATTGTTTCTCTTCTTCGGGAACTTGGGTTACATTCGGGCCAGCCTCCGACTCTGTGGTGTGACAACCTCGGTGCCACTTATCTCTGCGCTAATCCTGTGTTCCACGCCAGAACCAAGCACGTTGAGATCGATTTTCACTTTGTTCGGGACAAGGTCGCCTCAGGGGAGTTTGCTGTTAACTTCGTGTCCACCAAGGATCAGCTAGCTGACATCTTCACCAAACCTCTTCCGGGCCCGCGATTTTCAGCTCTACGTACCAAGGTCAATGTAGTTGCGCACCCACCTTGAGCTTGAGGGGGTGTGTCAATAATGTTATATTATTAGCTTATAATAATGTTAGTATTTGTATGGCACTAGTTAAGTAGTCTAGTCAAAGCTGATAATTAGGAGAGGTTTACGTTGTTTAAACCTCTTTTAATAATGTTGTAATTATCTGATTAATTCAAGTTTGAATCATACTTCTCATCCTCCCCTCGTATAATCTCTTTTTTCTTCCCAAATTTCTGTCGTTTCCAAAACCTTGTTGGCTGAATTGAAATGGAAATCGAACGATTTTAACTTCTGTTTCGAGTTTAATGGTGAGCTGTAGTCGAAGAAAATTGGAAGCAGATGCAAGAAGGGATGTGATGAGTGAACTACCAGCAAATGTGAAGGAAATGATTTTGGAGCGGTTGCCCACTCACGAAGCTGCCAGAACTTCTCTGCTCTCAACTCACTGGAAGGATGCTTGGTTGCGCCTTGGGCAGCTTGTGTTTGATAGCAACTTCTTTACGAGGGTCCGGAAAACCAAAGGTTATATTGATGGTAAAGTACCTTTCGTTAAAATAATAACATACATTCTCTTGCAACGTGTTGGACCAGTTAAGAAATTTACTATATGCATTAATTCCCTCATCATCTTTGATGGTAAGCTTCAGCAGTCCGATTTAGATCAGTGGTATCTTTTTCTATCAAGAAATGGCGTTGAGGAACTTCACATCTCTCATCACAATCCTTGGGAACGTCATTATAAGCTGCCATTTTGTATAGTCTTGTGCCCGACAATCAAGCAGCTGAGATTCCAGAGTTTGGGTTTTGATTGCCCAATATATGCTCCTTCTAATTTTCCCTGTTTCAGTTCATTAGCTTTCAGGTCTGTTGTTTTTAATCATAATGCTAATGGAATTGTGTCTACACTCCCTAATCTTGAGAAGTTGGATTTCCGTTATTGTCAAGGGATCTGTAATTTTAAGATCAAAGCTCCAAAACTTGAAAGCTTGTCTATTACTAGTACTGATACTGGTCCTAGTTTTGGGGTTGAATCTAGATGGTTTGCACCTCATTTGAAAGCCATTAAGGCTCTTTGCTTGGAGGCCAGCTTGTTGTTGGTGAGAATCTCTGTTCCTTCATATAGTATTCACAAATTTAATATTCTTTTCCTTATGGTTTGTTAGAGTTCTTTTCATATAATTTTGTTTTTAATAAGTGGGAAGAAGATGTTGAAGTAGCCTCCTTCCCAACTGCAATAAATCTGCAAGTAATCAAACTGCATTCGTTTGACTTTGCCAATGAAAAGCAGCTCATGGGTGTTTTGCAGTTGCTTCAAAAATCTCCCAACCTATGTGAACTGGACATTAAAGCAGTAAGTTTTGTGAGACAGAAACCTATATATTTGGCAGTTGTGATTTTTGTTTTCTTTATTCCCTCATGGTTGTACATGTTTTTTTATTTTTTATTTATTTTATTTGTTGTAGGAATGCTTGGATGATGACATAGAAGCTTTTTCAAGACTTTTGAAGGATCCAGACAGTTGCATTATTAATCAGGATCTAAAAATGCTTAAAACAATCAAGATTGAACAGTTTTGTGGATGCGCAATTGAAATGCTTTTTGTGAAAATGTTGCTTTCAAAATCCCCTATACTAGAAAGAGTTATTATTATGGAATCTTATTATATAAATGATGGCTACATAGTGATCAAGATCCTAAGGGAGTTGTTGTGCTTCCCTCGTGCATCTCCGAAGGCACAAATAATTGTCATCAAGGGCAAAGTTGATGTTATCATATCTTTGCTTGTTTTTATAGTTATTTTGAATCATCTTAGTATTTAAGTTCTTTAATTTTGCTTATTTAAAACATGTTTTCCTTGCTATTATCATTTAATTATGGTTCACACTTGTTTTGAATGTTTTACGGTGTTTGTTAGTGTTTTTGAACCATTGTAGGTTAATTCTATGAGCAAGGGAAGTTCAAGGATGAGTTTGGAGCAATTTTGGACAAGTCCGGGACCCAAAGGGCTGGGCTCGACGCGTCGAAAATTTCCAGTAGCATCACAAAACTGAGCCAAAGAGGCTCGACGCGTCGAGAATGACGCGACATGCAAAGTGATTAGTGGCTGCAATGTTTCCCAATTCAACTTCAATTCCAAATCCCAATTCCAACTTCAATTCCAAATTCCAATTCCAACTTCAATTTCAATTTCTTTATTTAAATATAGGAATTATAATTTGAGTCCAATTTTGTACAAGATTCCTATTTCATCTCAACTTTGTACCCACTATAAAATCCCTCCTTCCTCAACCCTAAAACATGACCGAGAGATTTTTAGAGTTCTTTGTAGACAAGAAAGAGAGAAATCAAGAGGCTCAAGTTGTCTTTGGAAGCAAGGAGGAAGCCAAGGAGATTTGGGAGAATCGCTTGGTTAATTCTTGTACTCTTTTGATGATTTGTAATCCTTTATTCATATTTGCTATGTATAATTTAGCCATGCTCGGCTAAATTCTTTAAGGATTTTTGGGTGAATTTGTTTATAAACCTATGTGCCTAGTTCGTTAATTTCTTAATATATTTATGTTTGGTTTTATGATTTGTGTTGCAATCTTGTTTTAATCTGTTGTTGTTGGTAGTTAATGGCCTAAATTACTAGCTTCACAGTCACGTTTGTGTCACCAATGGGAGTTGGGGCATAAATTAGGGCACACACGATTGCACCTAATGGTTGGTCCTTGGGAAAGGGGAACTTATTAGGGGAAGTTTATTCTAGATTATTGCTCATCGGGAGATGGTAGTAATTAGGAATAATTGAATGCTGATCTTTGATCTTATTGGGTGTTTAAGCCATGAGAGTGGAAATTCACTGGGAATAGAGATTACGGGAGTAATTCAATTCCACTTTGCATTCCCATACAAATCTTAATTCCAAACCAAATATTACAAACGTTAATTGGCACTAGGTGATTAAACATTGTGATCCCAAGAATCCTATTTTGCTCTATTGACTACAAAACCTTGCTACTTATTTTATTCTGCTTGTTATTTTATGCAATCAATCAACCTTCAAGTTTTGTTCGGACTAGTTTCATATGAGTAACCTAGTAGCTAGTGATTAGTACCCCACCTCTCTGTGATTCGACAACCCGAATACTCCGGGTATTATTTGTTTGCCCCAAATTACAGCAATCAAAAGTCTATGTGTAAGGACTAGTTAGTTTAACCTTTTTGGAACTTACTTCACATGGTGTGATGTGGGTGTTTAGCTTAGCCAAATATTTCGTATTGCTTAATTATGGAATATGTTAATAGTGATACCTTCCTTTGTAGCTGTCAAAAACTTAAGGGAGTTGTGTTTTCCTCATACATCTCCGAAAGCCCAGATTGTTTGCATGGAATACGACGACTCTGCGTCCGGACTATTTGATTACATATGGTTTTAACCTTGTAGGAATTTAGTATGATGATGTTCCATATATGGGTTCAGTTTGGATGCAACCTAGAAATGTAAGTAAAGGTTGTGGTGGATTGGTGGAAGTTGAAATCATGTAAGATAAGGATGCTGCACCTTGTTTCCTATGTTGTTCAGTAAGAAAATGTTGTAAAGTATTTTGAATTTATAAGCAGTAGACTCCAAGAATATAATGTTCTTTTGATCTTTTTACTTCTGTTAATTGTACTAGATTTTACGCATGCAGGTGTTTCTTATGACTTCATTCAAAATTTTTGAGTATAATAGTGAATTTATATACTTGCAGCAGACTTTTGAGGTGGAACAGTGTTTTCAATTCATTAAAATATATATATATATTTGGATCATGCATGGTTCAACTAAATGATTCAATCTTGATTATGTTTCAAGTATTTTCAACTCTTGAATAATGATGTACCTGTGTGAATTCTACAAAAGTCTTTCTGGCAACTTTTTTAAGTTTGAATTGAACCTCAAACTTAAGAGTTCATCACCATTCATACCCCTGAATATTGTAGAAGATTGAGATAAATCGCTGGGTTAAATTAGCCTACATTCCACCATATACTTGTAAAATCAAATGTTTAATATAATATTTACCAATTATTACACATAAATCAAATTTATCTTGTGCACGCCTTCTCAGATAATGACAACCCGGACTAGTTTCAATTTATAAAAAAGTTTTACATACAAAATAATTTTAAATCAAACTTGATTAGACTTCACCTGCTATTATCCTGGATAGCATTGGCTCCTTATGTCCTTGATTAATGATTATACAAATTGTATTATTAATTATATTTTATTTTATATGAAAGAAAGCCTCCTGGATAGCATTGGCTCCTATGTCCTTGATTAATGATTATACAAATTGTATTATTAATTATATTTTATTTTATATGAAAGAAAGCCATTACAGTAAGTTTCAATGTCTAATTACTAATTAATTTGATATAAAAATATAGAGAAAAGGTACAAATAGGCAATTGAACTATTTGAGAGACAACAGTTAAGTCACTGAACTCGAATAAGCTCCAAATTCATTCATGAACCCGGAAAAAAAAGAGCAATTAACATTTTTAACAAGTTAACAACATGTTTGCGCTAATTGGAATGTCATGTGTATTTATATATTTTTTCTTATTATCATACTTGACTACATGTAAGCATTTGACCCTTTAAGTCAAAATTTAAAGCCCTAATTTTCTATGTCTTTTATTTTCTTCTTTGGTTCTTCATTTGCGTCTGCAACTATCGCTTCTCTATTTTGCATTTTTTCTCTCTTTCGCGGTTGTTTGCGATATTTTTGAATCAGAAAAAATACTATTTGCGTGTAATTTCTTAAACTTAAGTTACATATTGATTGTTGCGCTAGTTATAATTTTTAGGATAATGATAATTACTTAATCCCGATAAATTTCATATTCTTTTTTATATCATCAATTAACTATTTGTGAATTGGAAGGATACATCAGGTAATCGGACCAAAGAGCCAACAGAACTCCAACGTAACACTTTCCCCAACTTGGCTTATTTTCTCTTGGAAATGGACACATAAACAGAGAACTATTTACATTTTAATTTTAAAATTTTTCTGAACATTAATTCATACTAACTATTTTAACATTATTATTATTATTATTATTATTATTATTATTATTATTATTATTATTATTATTTACAATAATTTAAATATCTAAAATCTAAATAAATTTAAAATTTTAATATAAAGAACTAATATTGGGCACCTATTTCTTGGGCATCACGCATAAAAATACTAGTAATAAAATAAAAATTTAAGAAATTAAAAACTAGAGGAATGGAAAATTGAAAAATTGGAGGAATGGAGAAATGAAGACTGGAAGAATTGAGAAGGAAAATTGGAGAAATGGAGATGGGGAAAATTGGAAATGGAAAAACAGAGAAATGAAGTAAACGACCTCTTAAGCATTTGATTTCGACTGAAGCCGCCTCATTATTTTTTCAATTTAACGGCTCGACGTCGGCGACTCAAAACCCTACCGGATGCAGATTTAATAACTGAGTTGCCGGTAGAGGTAAATGACAGAATTTTGGAGTGTTTGCCCACCCGAGACGTAACCAGAATGGCTCTGCTCTCAACCTATTGCAATGATGCTTGGTTGCACCATGGGCGGCTTGCATTGGATTCAGACTTCTTGTATAGTGTTGAACACCGCCTAGATGATGACGGTAGAACCCTCGTGAACATAATCAATAATATCCTCTTTTTCCATTCTGGGCCTATTAAGAAATTTACTCTAGACATAGACACTTCATATGCTCCATCGCCGCAACAATTAGATTTTGATTGGTGGTGTCTTTTTCTTTCAAGAAATGGTTTGGAGGAACTTAACATATCTTTATATAGTTATCAAAAGCCAGATTATCAGCTGCCATTTTGTTTACTCTCTTGCTCAGATGATGATATAGAAGCTCCTTTAAGACTTTTGAACGATCCACACAGTTGCATTATTAATCAGGATCTAAAAATGCTTAAAACAATCAAGATTGAACAGTTTTGTGGATGCACAATTGAAATGCTTTTTGTGAAAATGTTGTTGGTGATAATGAACCAAAATCGATTTAATATCCGAAAAATAATATTTATATATACACACAAAAGTATATAAAATATTATTGGATATTTATCCGAAATATATATATACACACAAATATATATAAAACGGATCCAATGGTTATATATACATGTATATCTACGATAAAGATATACCAATATATATCAACCAAAATTGAAACTAATAATCCTCAGAATATAAGTCCAATCCAACGAATATATCAAAAGAGGGAGAACGGATTTTTGCTTAAAAGCATAATCCAAAACAAGAAAGAAGGAGAAGGAAGAAAGAATTGTACGAGTTAGGTGAGTGCCTTTCTTTCCTTAAAACCTTATTTGCCACCTCCCAAAAGTGCTAGGAGCGTTGTGACCTAGGTTTTCCAGGATAAAACGTACAACAGTTCGACGTTTGAGCACCCAAACGAGCGAACCCGGCGAACTAGAGCACGGGCAAAACACAGTAGCAAGAAAGGAGTAGGAGCAGAGTTTTTGAGAAGAAAATGTGCTTATCTTTGTGTGTTGTGTACTCTCGTGTTCTTCCCTCTCTTGTTGTTAATCACTTTCTCACTATCATTCTATTTTCAAAAGGTTGCTCCCACAACATGTTTATATAGGAGTTTGGTACTTAATGACATTATCATGACACATTAACCAACATAAATTCAATTTAATAATTGAATTATAAAGTTTGAAACGGTCGTACTTATTATCGAAATAATATCAACGGTCACGAACTTAATATCTGATTAATTCGTATCGACCATAACGACTCGTTTCAAAAATATCTGAGTGACCGAGAAGTCCGTACAAACCCGAAATTTTAACAAATTGGGATCAGAAACCACACCCGAGTGGTCCGCAACTCCCGCAAGCACCAAAATGGTGCATCACGAATCAATGCATATAGCATTGACTCGTGCTAGAAGCACCAACCTGGTGCTGCACGAAAGGACTCACACGAAAGGAGTCCAAAAAACCAAAGCATGAATTTGTGCTCAAAAGCACGAAACGTCACTTTAAATCCCAAATCATTATTTTAAGCTTTTCAAAGCTTAATCATATTTAAGCTTATGCCTTCGTGATACACATCACAGCTAATTCTTTAATTAGCTATCAAGCTTAAAACCTTGTACATTTCGGGTACAAACGAATCACAAAAATTGCTAATTTAATTAGCAACTATCTTAAGATTTTGACTTCTCTCTGTTAGACAAAAATATCACATGCATCATATAATATGTGATTATAGGATCAACTAACCTCCAGCCATAGTTTCTTGTTACGGTTGAGCGATCCGGACTGCTGCAGAGATAACGAGTATTTTGTTTCTCACTTTACTCAGCTCTCTCTAGATGGTGTATGAGGTATGTATTGTGAGCAGTGAGAGGACTAGTGACCTTATATAACCACTGGCCATCATTGTGGTTGATTGTCTTTAGATCTCCTAAACCCTAACTAGACTCCTAATCATAATGGTAGTCTAGTTATTAGGTTATTAGTGTTGCACCACATATCAAATACTGAATATTATCATTACTTATCCTAATGTTATAATAATAGTAACGGATAAACGTTACATTCCCCCACTTGGTGCAAGCACTACCACTCAATAACAGAAAAACACCAACCATAATGATATGTTCTCATTAGCACGAGTAGTATCCATTATGATCAAATGCAAACTGCCATTGGGCACTTAATTAGGAAACCAAACCCAACGAAATAAACCCTATGTTTATTCCAAGTCCCTGAAGTACATTTTCTCATCAATATAAAGCAAATGAAGGTGTACACACTTAATTGAGAAAATGTCCGAATGCCAAAGAATTTTATTGAAACCGAATGTATATATATACAAATTACAAATTGGGCGAAAGTCCCATTTTCTGAATCAGATCCTTGAACTTAAATGGTGGCATGCCTTTAGTCAAGGGATCTGCTAACATCAACTCAGTATGAATGTGTTCAATGAATACAACTTTATTTTTGACACGCTCCCTAATTGCTAAGAACTTGATGTCGATGTGCTTAGTTCGACTCCCACTTTTGTCGTTCTTAGATATAGAATCCATAACTCTAAGCCCAGAGATAAAATTCTTTAGCCAAACACCCTGTGAAGTAGCCTCGAAACAGGAAACGAACTCGGCTTCCATGGTAGAAGTAGCTATTAAGGACTGTTTAACACTTCTCCATGAGATTGCCCCACCGGCCATAATGAAGACGCACCCAGAAGTTGATTTTCGAGAATCAACACAGCCAGCAAAGTCCGCGTCTGAATAACCGACAAGATCTAAATTGTCCGTCTGCCTAAACCCAAGCCTGTAACCTTTGGTTCCTTTGAGATACCTTAGAACCTTCTTTACAGCTCCCCAATGATCTAACCCCGGATTATGTTGGTAACGCCCTAGCATTCCAACCGCAAAAGCAATATCCGGCCTCGTACAGACTTGAATATATCCAAGACATCCAACTGCTGCAGCATAAGGGATGTTCTCCATGGATTCCTTCTCCAAATCATTTTTTGGACATTGGTCCAAACTAAATCTATCCCCCTTAGATATGGGAGCAGCGTTCGGTGAACAACTTTGCATATGAAATCTCTCTAAAACTTTGTTTATATAGGTTTCTTGAGATAACCCCAGTATATCCCGGGACCTATCTCTCTGAATTTTAATGCCAATAACATAAGAGGCATCACCCATATCCTTCATATCACTATGAGAATCAATTTCTCATTCACCTATTACTCATTTTGAGCATACATTATATCAAATTCTTCGTCTCACTACGAAGAACCCGAATCCACCTTGATCCGATCCAAATCGGAAGTGGATCCCACATATATTTGTACCGCAAAATAATCACTCAAAATGTCATTTTAATGCTATTTTTCCAACAAATGTTGCTCTCAAAATCCCCTATACTAGAAAGAGTTGTTATTACAGAATCTCATTATGGTAAAGATGGCTACATGGTAATCAAGATCTTAAGGGAGTTGATGTGCTTCCCTCAGTGCATCTCCAAAGGCAAAAATTGTCATCAAGGGCAAAGTCTATTTGTAAGGACTAGTCAGTTTAACCATGATTTTAGCCTTTTTGGAACCTACTTCACATGGTGTGATGTGGGTGCTTATGCTTAGCCAAGTATTTCTTATGGCTTCAATGCAATGGTGTTTCCATTTTGATGACCCTATTTCCTTGCACTAGAGAGAGTTTTAATTATGGAATATGTTGATACTGATGCCTTTGATTACATATGGTTTTAACCTTGTAGGAATTTAGTATATGATGATGTTCCATGGGTTTAGTTTGGATGCAACCTAGAAATGTAAGTAATGGTTGTGGTGGGTTGGTGGAAGTTGAAATCTTGTAAGATAAGGATGTTGCACCTCGTTTCCTATGTTGTTCAGTAAGTTTTATGTTGTAAAGTATTTTAATTTGAATCAAGCAGTAGACTCCAAGAATATAATGTTCTTCTGATCTTTTTACTTCTGTTAATTCTACTAGACTTTACCTATGCAGGTGTTCCTTATGACTTCATTCGGAACTACCCCAAGCATGTTTCAAACTCTTTGTCAGTGTTGGATACCAAACTTAGTTTTTTAATATATTCCTAAACAACTCTTTTGTCAATGTATAGGATACCAAACTTGTTTAATATATTCTAAAACAACTTTAGAAATGGCATTAACAATATAATAGTGAATTTATATACTTGCAGCATACTTTTGAGTCCATTTTTTATCCTACTGTTATAGGGGCTTTCCAATTTCAGTCCACTTTGATTTTTTTTGTCACTTTACAACCACTGTTATTGAATGTGTTCCACTTTTAGTCCACCGTTAATATTTCCGTCAAGAGGCCGTATAATAAAAGGGTATTTTGGTCTTTTATGTTTGTCTCTTCTCTTTTAATCCAGGTGCTTCGTCCTCCTCCTCCGATATTCGAAGATGGCTCTTCGAACAACGAGAATGGGAAGCCAAAGCTACATCGTTTCGTTCGTTCCAACATGGGTCGGCGATGGTTCTTAGGTTTTAGGTTTAATGTTCTCATTTCTTTAGTCAAACATAGTCTGGATGAGAAGAAAGGTCAAAATACCCCTAGATTACACGACCTCTTGATGGAAATACTAACGGTGGGACTAAAAGTGGAACACATTCAATAATAGTGGTTATAAAGTGGCAAAAAAAATTAAGGTGGACTAAAATTGGAAACGCCCTATAACAGTAGGACCAAAAATGGAATTCACTCTAAAAGTATAGGGAAAATGTACAAATAGGTCATTGAACTATTTGAGGGACATCAATTAAATCATAGAACTCGAATAAGCTCCAAATTCATTCATGAATCCAAAAAAAAAAAAAAGTAATTAGCATTTTTAAAATATTAACAACATGTTTGCGCTGGTTCGGATGCTATGTGTATTTATATTTTTTTTTTCTTAGGAAAAATGACACTTTTTTCCCAGAGTTATATACTTATAGCACTTTTTCCCCCCTGAATTATTCATGCAAGTGCATTAGTCCCCTCAATTATTTTAAAAGTGGCGGTTTTTCCCCATGATATATTAAATTGACATTTCTACCCTTAAAGTAAACATTTTATTTATTTTTCTTCTCCAACAAATTATTGCGTATACGTAGGGATGACCACGGTTCTATTCGAATTGAACCGGACACTATAGCAATCGAATTAAAAGTTTTCAGTTTTGATTCAAATCCATAACCCAATATTTGGATTTCAGTTTATTAAAATTATGAATCGAAAAAACTGGATCTTGAACCGTTAACAGGCGGTTTCGGATCCGGTTCGCAATTTTGAACCGTCTTTATTTTAAAATTTTATTATTTTTTATTTTAAATAGTCTAAATTCAAAAATAAATGTATTTTATTTTTTTCAGTTCGGAACATGAACCGGCCGTCCCGGTTCGCGATTCAACATGTGCTTGACTTCCGGCAATCTCGGGATGGGAGACCCCCTGGGAAGTGAGCATAGTGCAGCGCTGGGATCCAACATTATTATTATTATTATTATTATTATTATTATTATTATTATTATTATTATTATTGTTGTTGTTGTTGTTGTTGTTGTTATTGCTGTTGTTGTTGTTGTTGTAATTTGATTATTGATAAATTCGTCAAAATTTTAACAAATTCGTCATTTTAACATTTTAATTTTAATCAAAACACCAAATAAGCTAAGTAGTTAACGCGCCAGCCTAGGCGTTGCCTGTACCCCAAACGTGCGCCATTGCGTCTATCTTTGGTGTTTTTCTTTCCTGCGCACCCCCCCCCCCCCCCCACCCCCAAAAAAAAAAAAAAAAAAACAAGGTCTTGCTCGAAGACCTTGGCCTTTTCTCTCTTTTGCATGGCAAAAAAACCTACAAAAATCAACCAAAATCTTCCTATTGTGAAGTTGCTTAGGGATAACCACGGTTCGGTTCAAATCAAACCGTCTATTGTAGCCTTGTAGGAATTGAACTGGAACCGTACAAAAGGTTCCAGTTTCTGTTCTTGGTTTGTTGGAACTAGAACTGGTTCCAAACTGGGAAAAAAACACATTTTCAAAAAATAAAAAGCTTGTGGCCAAGACCTTTGATTCTTATTGAAATTTCGATAAGATATGTAGGTAACTTAATCTTTGAAAAATTAAATGCAAGGCTAAAATTATTTTAATCATTTTTTAAAAAATTTATTGTGAATTTGGACTATTTTAAAAATAGGAAATAGAAAAAAAAAAAAAAAAAAAAAAAAAAAAAAAAAAAAAAGATTGGTCCGAGCCGAAAGGTTCTGGTTATGGTTTGTAATATTTCGAAACTGGAAACCGGTAGTAGGAAATTGGAAACCGGAAACCGAATTGAAAAGCAGTCAACCTTAGATCGAGTTGCTGGGTTCGTTAACCTTAGAGTTGCTGGGAATATTAGAGTGTACCAACTTTTGTGATGATGTTATGTAGTTGTTGGAACTAGGAAGAGTGATGTACTACTCCATTTTATATGCTGGGGATTTTTGATAGTAGATGCATCATTATTACGGAGTATATTGTAGTTGTTGGATTTAATTGGGATATTAGTTTTTTTTTTTTTTATTGTGAAATGAGTCAAATATGTTCTCAAGTTATATGCTTAAAAAAAAGTAAATTATACTCTTAAATTATAAAGTATTTTAATTATGGAGGTATAGATTTGGTCTTGTTGTGAGTAAGTATTTAGGAAAATGTAGGCTTGTTGAGACTTGAACTATGATATATATCCTCTACAATCTCTAGTGTAGGAGTGGTGCTGAAATCTTAAGTTTGGAGTTCAAACTCCTAGAAGTTGTTGAAATGCTTTTGGAGAATTCAGAGAGTTGCATCATTAATCAGGATTACAAAATGCTTAGCTCAATCAAGATTGAATCATTTAATGTAACCTCACTCAAAAAATACCTTTTTGTTAAAATTCTGCTCTCAAAAGTCTTATGCTTCAAAGGAAGTTGTTATTAAAGAATCTTACTTATAATATCATAGCCTTATATTATATATATGCATTATACTCTTACTCATCTTCTTCAAGTCTCTAGTCAGTAGTCATGCATCATTACTATATGAGGTTGCTTTTCAGATTTGGTAGCCATTAAACCTACTCCATGTGCTCTTATTGTATAGTTGGATGAAGTTCACTTTTAATAAATAAAAAAAAATCTTTATTTTTACTTCGTTTCCTAGATATTATTATTATATCTTAATTTTACAATGGTGTTTAATGTATTGACTATGTGATATATTCTTTCTATCATTTTATGTATCATGTCTATTATGGCGGAAATAAACACCATCTCTGCCTCCCAAGGCCAACATCGTAGCTACCACCGCCAACCTCATATCGGAAAACACCATCGACGCCGGGCCCGGGTCGGTGAAGCTCTCCAGAAACACATTCTCCTTTGTTCTTTGCAACCATAGAAGGTTCAAAAGCAAATGTGTGTGTTTTTTTAGGTCAAATGCATTTCGAAAATTGGTTTGGGTTTTTTATTAACAAAAAAAAAAATCCAAAAGCAAATATGCATTTGAGAAATGTTTTTGAGGACTAAAATTTGTCCAAAAATATTTTTTTTTTCATTTTTTTCCATCACTTTCATATTTTTCCATTATGATCAATTTCCCTAATGTTATGTGGAAACATCTTATGTTTTTCTTGTGCCTCTACAAAAGCAAAAATTGTTTACATCTATCCTAATGAATATCCTTCAAAAGAAAGGCATTTTCAGTTAGTGGGTATTAATCTTTGGAATACACAATAAATGGCCTCTGTTTTGCTTGTTAATTATGGCAAACAATCTATGGACTACACAATACTTTGAACTCAATGCTATGAACTTATTCGCAACACTTTGAACTCAATGCTATGAACTTATTCGCAACTCTCCGAGCCCGAATCGGCGAAGCTCTCCGGAAACACATTCTCCTTCGGTTTCTATGATCTGCAAGCAGAGAAGGTTAGGAACGCAAATATGTTTTTTTTTTTTAATATGTCAAACACTTTTCAATTTGGCAAAATAATACAAACTCATTTTATAAATGAGTGGGTATTTCGTCAAAATACCCCAAAGGCTAATATGCATTTGGATAAAAATCCAAAAGCAAAAATGCATTTGAGAAATATGTTTAAGGTCCAGTCAAAAATTTCCACAATGTTTGCTAATTAACAAAAGCAAATAGAGGAACATTCTTAATTGCCCACAATGCTTGCTGATTACAAATACTTCGATCATGTTGAACAACTCAGAAAACATTTCAACTTCCTACACTACCATTGCTTACATTTCTAAAGATTGAACCCAAGGAGATTCACCAAGTTTGTGAAAGGCTAAACCAATGTTACCAGTACTCCATACCCATAGACTCATTGTCATTGTCCGTGAAGACAATATGTGCGTTTGAAGATGCACGCGGAAAGCATTCCAACTTCCTTTGGATTTTTCTCACCTCAGGGGCATTCATACCCCCAAAACTTCACAATAAATCTCTCTAGCGCAGAAGATTTTGAGAGCAACATTATTATAAAGAGCATCTGGAGTGCGGAACAATTTGATTTAATCTTGATTGTGTTAAGCATCTTCAGCTCATGAATAACAAAGCAGATCCTCCAAAAGCCTTGAAGCATCTTCTTTGTCATCCTCCGAACCGAACTATAACTCAAGATGAAAT